GTAAAGTAAAAGAAAAAAAAGACAAATAGAACAACCCTTGTTTTATGTGTTATCATGTATGAAAAGATCCTAAATGAACACCGTAAATGGACTGCTTGATCACTATGAGCATATTATTTAAACAGCATTTGTAAATTAATTTGTTGTGGCAATTTTAAGCTGATCTGCTTGGGAGTCAGCAAGCAAGACTGGATAGCTTTATGTACGGGAGTTTATTCTCTGTCGAGAAGGCGCAACCTCAAGCTCAGAGCTCAGAGCTCAGAGGTTGTGCTCAGAACATTGAATACAGGGCATCTTTATACCTGCACTCAGACGAGAAGATGATGAGAAATCAATTGTAGCTTTCTTGTGCTTTCCTGATTTAATTATGTTCTCTTGATTATATCAGGGGAACATACCTGTTGCAACATGTTAGGTAATCGGCTGTATCTGTTAGACAGTCAATGGACTGTTTTTGAAGGCGAGATTATAGTGAATGTAAATCTCTTGATGATGTCAAGTAACAACAGATGTTTACAAAGGGGAATGCGAAGGTCACACACTTACAAGAAGAATGAAACAATGTAAGCATAGACAAAATTTCCAGCACATGTCCCCCCTTTTGATCATTAATGACCAACTACTCAAGTATCAGTGATGAAAATGCATCTTAACTTCAGTTCAACACGTCAATAAGAGTTAGGAAAATGAGTATTTTTACATGGGAATAATCATCTACCTCACTGTCATCGCTGGAAGAATTATAAGAATGTAATGTGAACTGCTTTGTACAATTTTCTGTAGTACTTATTATAGGAATGTAGATGCTATCATAGTAGTTAGGCTTGTCACGATACCAGAATTTCGGTGGTCGATACCAATACCAGCTCAGTGGTAGAGTGTCCGCCCTGAGACTGGGAGGTCGTGGGTTCGATCCCCGGCTGGGTCATACCAAAGACTATAAAAATGGGACCCACTGCCTCCCTGCTTGGCACTCAGCATCAGGGGTTGGAAATGCGTAGAACAAATTTCACACACTCAGGTGTGTGACAATCAGTGGAACTTTAACTTTAACTTTAATACCAGTGATACTCATTCGATAACACAATAAAAATCACAAAACAGAACTCATGTATTTCTAAATTCACTACTTTATTAAAACTGTTTCAAACTTTAACTCTAGGCCTCATTTACACCGCAAGCGATTCACAAGCGTTGCGGCAGCACACGTGTATTCACACCAACACCGAACAGACGCGTCGCGCAGTGGCCGCTGCTGTCCTGTCAAAAAACAAACCACACCCGAACAGTTGGTGGTGGTAGTGCTCCAATAAACCCCAAAGAAGAAGAAGTGAGTTTGGACCCAAAGCCCAGAATGGACAGGTTCGCGCGCCAGTGATTATTCCAACTAGGGCTGGGTGGTATGACCTAAAATTTATATCACGGTATAAATCGAATCCCTTCACGGTAACGGTATATATCGCGGTATAAATTTAAGTGTAAAAGTTATAATAGAAGTGTTTCTGAATGGGTTTTGTAGTCCCTTAGCAAAGCTGAATTGATAAAAAAAACCCAACAACAACGAAAGCAAAGATATAATGTATTTTTTAGAGCATTTATAGTGCAGAATGCAGATCTCAAAACTCAAAATTAAAACCCAGTACTCTATGGTGCAAAATGTCCCCTGGGATCTATATCAAAAGGTAATTTCCTTCTTTTAGCAAAATCCTAAATGACTGAGTTGTGTTTTTTCCACCTGGACCTTTATGCTCTGCCATTTCTCCTCTAATCATCACGCTGTAACCTGTGACAGGCTGCTATGATACCACAACTATCACACATTCACATATGGAGTTTTTTGTGGAGCCCCTAGCGTCACATAGGTTTATATTACCAATGGTTTATGACAAACTCTCTTGCCGAAAACCAACTCCCGTGTGCGCACAGTGAGAGACGAGAGGGAGAGACACTGTGCTGCTGCCAGAGGAGACACTGAATGAGTTCCCTCTGAGCGGTAAGTCGCTAAAAGAGTCTGAGAAGTCCGGGGCTGTACATAAGACATTAACTCAGTCACTCACAAGTTCTCCAGCAACACATGTTGCACGTGCTACGCTAAATCACGGACGTGAACCAGCTCCTCTTGCTCCGCTGTCTCTGTGCTCGCAGCCATTTTCACACTGAGGCAGGTGCGATGACGTCATCGATGATAGGACAGTAGAGTGCAAATCTCTACCGTGGGCCAAATTTATATCATTTCTACCGTCTACCGCATATACCGTGCAGCCCTAATGCCAATGCTTGGATAATTAATATTTATACTACAAATGGGTAAGTACATGAAACATGTGCCTGTCAGGTCTGGCTTGGTCAAGGGGGAGATGTCTGCCGAGGCCATGGCCGAGAGAGGTCACAACAACGTTTTTTGTTGAATACCGCGACCATTCGCTCGCGACTCGCGCAAAAAATTGGCGTCTCTTCTTTTTTCGAGCTTGCTCGCGAAAGCAGCACGACTTGAGCAGAAGGTAGAGCGGATGCAGTGTGAATGCTCTAACCTGATAACATGCTCGCCGAAATGAAATCACGAGTAAACAGCGACCATTCGCGAGGGCTACGCGAACGCATCGCTTGCGATGTAAATGCCTAAATGAGATCCTCTCCACACACTCTACTTCTACCTGACTTTTTGCCAAGCCGAGGTGTTGTGGCTCCAGCAGCATGTGTAAAAGCCATTGTTTCTAGCAAAGACGATGGAGAACCGGCGTTCTTCTTCGTCGCTTGTTCTCGGCACCGACTGACGTATGTATACTGCCCCTGTCAGTTCCGACAGGAATCAACATGGCCCGCTGAGGGCAAAGTTGTATCCGGTACTTACGGTGCCGAAAAAAACTAGGTACCGATGTATTTTTTTGCGTGTTGGCATTGACTCGGTACTGAAGTGTAGGCACTGTGCCGGATTTCCAGCAATCGGCGAGAAAAAAAATAAATAAAAATTGATGTGGGATACCTGCGTGTGTCGCAGAGAATAGACGGGCTCTGGTAGAAGAGCTTTAAATGGAGACCTCTCGCTCTCAACCTATGACTTTCGCTTCCAGCCAGACCAAAGTTAGGCTACTAACCAATCAGAAGTAGAGCGGGGGTGGGTCTTGGGGGGAGGAACAAACTTGATTCAGAGCTAACTTCAGATTCAAGTGGAGCTCATGCCGTAGACACTCTCATCAAGATGGAAAGCAGGTTAATGAAACCCAGGGAAAACCTTCCAGATAGTCAATAAAGGACTAATAGAGGAAAAATAAATGGCGTTGGGCGTGGGTAAAAGAGATAGGCACAGATGGATGCAGCCAGCGGCAAGAAAGTCCTATCACGGCATGAATTAGACCCCGGTCATAAAGCCGCTGTGCGTGCAATAAAGCACGTAACGCATTTACCGGGAGCTGCAGTCACCGCTGACATACCGGCGTCGATGACAGATTGTGTTGTCAACCAGCAGGTAAGCGTGTGCTCCTTCATCGCAGAACATGATTTGTCATTCACCATCTCGCAGCCCCTTGTGAATCTGTGCAAAAAGTTAGCGGTGTAAAGTTAACTTGACTTTAGAGTCATTGTTAAGGCCCTGAAGTCTGTAGTTATGGGGCAGTTAAAGCCCAAACCCTGTGTTATTACATCACTCTGTTGAAAGCTCAGCTCATACTTGTTAATGCTGAGCCCTGAAATGCAGGATGTTGGCTCTGTATGAATGTATTGCCCATCAATAGCCAGGCACCCCAAACTGCACCAGATTTCAGGAAATTATATCAAATAAGTCCAAAAATGTAATTAAATTAATTGATTAAAAATCAATTCCTCATGCTTCAACCTGAAAAAAATGTTAGGTTTAGGATATTTTTTTGTTGCTATCACCCCTGTGAGAGTTAATTCTTTATAGAGAAGGCACACCCTCTGAGCTCTGAGCCTGAGGTAGCACACACACCGTTGTCTTCCTGCAACAAGTCACATCTCGCATTATTTTGAATGAGACTTCCGCCTAACGAGGCAACAACAAACAGACCAGATCAAGTGAAAGGTAAAGAGACACTTCAGACACTTACATTAACAATGTGAGCCTTTCAGTGATGAAAATAAGTACTTTTAATGGAGATACACTGACTGTTTAGTTGCCCTATATGCTTACATTGCAGCTGTTCCACAGCTGCCAGCTGCTGCCCTCTTGCTAAATATTAGACCAATTTCAAAAACACAATAGGGGAAATAAAGGTGAAAGAAAAAAAGCCGAAGTTGTCCTATTTTACCTAGCAAAGTGTAGTTGGACACGACCTAATTGTACTTGTTCCATGCACTACAGATCATGCACTATGGATCATTGAAATAGGGTCGTCTGACTTTTGGATCACCTCTAAAACATCTTTGCCATTTATGTACTGCAAACACAGGTATATGTTAGTGATAAGCTAAAATAATATTGACTATGGCAATGTATTGGTGGATTTCGATTTGGGGCTTCTCCTTTTGAGTTCATGCAGTTTAAATGAGTGATGGTGGTATTTCAGTAAAACACATGCCCACTCAATACTAAACTGAGGACATGGAATTTTTCTTCTGTTTAAATCCATGAGAGAGAATGGCTTGTTAGTTGCTGTAGGGTTGGACATTGTAGTGCAGTGATACTCAACTCATCCTCAAATCCTCGAACACCACTATGTACAGCAAACTTCGAAAGGTTGAAAACAGGCATTTATTATACATACTGATAAATCTTATGAATGTTTAAGTTTATATTATTACAGTATTTTGTTATTTTATCATTGTTATTTTGTAAAAGTGGCCCCTAGGCAAAGCAAGTTGAGTATCGATGGTTCAGTGTTTTTCTTACCTGGAAGTTTTAGATTTTTCAACCTATTTGAAATGCAACGTTAGTGTTTTTAAAGTTGTTGAGAAGTAAAATCTCCAATAAAAACAGTATTATCTTTTCAGTCTCAAGCCTTTTTGCCATATGTGAGTCTAATCAAACAATGCCTTTGTCTCAGAGGAGCAGTTCGTCACTGATGGAAACATCGTGGAAGCCCGTGAAGCTACTGAAGAAGATCTGCTGGTGGTTCACACCAAACGCTACCTCAACAGATTAAAGGTTGCTTTGTTTTCCCTCAACACTGCAAACCTCTAGTGAATCTATCATTATGACAGCATGGCATTTTCATCACAGTTCTTCATCTCCTCATTTCTTTTTCTACATCTCCACTGAGTCTAACATGCATGACTCAGGAGCTGAGGCAACCATCAGGATTTTAAAAGGATTTTAGTGCTGGGCAGTATGATGAACAATTTGTAATTTGTTTTTAATATCATAATACAAGATCAATCACGACTCCCCAAATCCATGGTTGATTACACTTTTGAAGATCACGGTTCAATTTGATTTTTGATTTAAACATTTTTTTCGGCACTGATGGCTATGTTACTGTTGGACTAACAAGTGTTGATTTGTAAGGATCAGCTGATCTTGTTCAAAAAGTTAGACTGCATGGTACATTGATGTTTTTCAGCACCTTGCCAAGACTGAGCCGGGTGGAGTGATAGGTATTCTACACACTGCATGGTATTTGCCATAGGCTAATATTAAATTTTTATATGTAAATGTAAAAAATAATAATTTATGTCACTAGTCAACTGAAAAACTTGAGAACACATAAACAACAGCCACTGAATGACAGAGGGTATTTTACAGTTACAGCTTCCTCAGTTTCCTCTCCTACAAAACGCTATTTTGACTTTTGTTTCACTAGCGTAGCTGGCACACTGTAGTACTTCTGTCAGACACTGTTGTTGTTTACATGACTTGTTTATGTAACATGTTGCAACACCACTGACTTCAGGGAAGCAGGAGGATCTGTTGTGTCTCTGTCATCTCTGACTCTGGCAGTAACCATTATGGGTGGGGGAAAAAAATCAGTACAGCATAGTATCATATTTTGCATGGCAATATGTATCAATACTGCCATGTACATGCATACATACATACATACATACATACGTACATGCCATGTATCGATTTTTTAAATAATATGTTATTAATATTGAAAATGCAAATTAAACTTAACCAAAAGAATAATAATATAGGATATGATGTTGCTACAATTAAAATGATTAAAGTGTATTCTAAACTCCTATTAACTATGGTGTCTGGAGACGTGCAGCTAATGTTACTGGTAAGCTCCGCTGTGTGGTCTATGAAGTGTTTTTTTTTTTTTTGTTTGTTTGTTTTTTTTTCCTTCGGGCTCATACGAGTCAGATTTTTTAAGACCATAAAGCTTCCAAACAGCTGACTCAGCTCCTCTCTTGGACACAAGTTCTTCTGATACCTTTCTGGTCTTGTGGTCCCTTTCTTCATCCTCCATCTCTCTTTTCTGTTCTTAAATATAATGTTACTGAACGACGGAGTTTCTTCCAGCTGTTAAAGAACTGTTATGCTAAGTGCCTAACATGCAGTTCAGCAGTGTAATTTTGAAAATGTGTGTTACAGATTGTTTAGGTGTCACACATTGTTGTGTGGCATGGTGTTTTGCCCTTTTGGAGAGTAAGTTTTGGGTTATTAATTTCTGTGTTATACAGTTAACCATTAGTGCGAAGGGTACGCAGTTAATAGGGCTGCCCGTAGAAGAGTTATAACACGTGTTTCTGCTATGTGCCGATATGCCTGTATATGAAAAAGTCATATCGTATGGATACTTACAACCGGTTTACCGGATGAACCAGCATACTGGCCAGCATGAATGGATTTGTCATAAAACAATTAGTAAATGTTACTGTTCACATTTAATAATAGTTTCAATGTGATCCAAGAAGGAGAGTTTGTTTTCTGGGATTTTCCCTGCTAATTGTTCCCTCTATTTCACATTGGCCTTCTAATGTTGCAATGCAGGAGGTGAAATAACAGAGCAGAGAGTTCTCATCTAAACGCAGTGGATTATCCTACAGGGGAATTAGTCCTCATTCAAATCAGTCATGTCAAACATATTCAGCTCCTTTCTTTTGAGTCAGTAAGAGGTTTTGCACTTCTACTTTGTAGATAGGTTGATAGGTAGGTAGGCAGGCAGACAGGCGGGTGGGCAGGCAGGCAGATAGGGAATAAAGGACATCTTAAGTTATATTTAGGCTGTAGTTCAGTTGTTTGTATTCTGCTCTGAATTGAATTTCTACTGTGCCGTCCTGTTTTCATGTGAGAGTCAAGGCTCAAGACTTAGCCCACTGGCAGCATTATTATGTTTTTCTTCATTCAGCTTTGTTTTTTTGCCTTATAAGGGATAGTCACTGCACAGAAGGAGGTCTCTGCGACAAATTGTGTTCTTTTTTCCCTTTAGTGGTCTCTCGTGGTGGCAACAATCACAGAAATCCCTCCTCTCCTGTTTTTGCCTAATTTCCTGGTGCAGCGGAAAGTGTTGAGGCCTTTGCGGACACAGACTGGAGGAACAATAATGGTATGTATTTTAGAGCCTCATTACCTCGACCTTGACTTTGTATTCATGACTTGAGACTTGACTTTGACTTGAGACAGATGACTTAAAAGGACTTGAGTTTTTTATTTAGTGTTTGTATTTTTCTAGATATTGAGAAGTTATGTTTTGTTTTTGAAATATGGTGACGCATTGCAGCAGGAGAGAACCTGCCGGCTGATTTTAGTGCCCACGCTGTGAGAGCTCTGACCTCCTGTTCACAGCTGTCCTCCGAGAAAAGGCAATATGTACAGTGGCATCATAAGTTTCACCCTGTGCTTTTATTTGGTTCTGTCTATGTGATACATGTGAATTAATAGTTCATGGTGTTCATTATGTCTTTAGTTTCTGATAATGACTTTAGTTGTTCTTTTATCTCAGACATGTTAGGATGTTACATACCTTGACATATTTTGGCGGAAACTTCTGCCTTCCTCAGAAGTGTCACTTGGTGGGGGTTGTGACGCGTCTTTATCAGCTGATCTGTCAATCAGCCGATATTAGGGAGGCGTGACCGTCCTGTCATGCCACCTGCTGTCGAAAAATAAAATCAAGGCACTACTAAAACCACTACTAAATGAAAAAAAATAGACAAGCAGACTTAGAACCATTTAATACCTACAGCCAACGTCACCCCCAGGATTTACGGCACACCAAAAATACACAAAACAGGAACACCCTTACGCCCGATTGTAGACAGCATTGGTTCAGTCACATACAACTAATCAAAGGCACTGGCAGAAATAATAAAACCAGTTTTAGGACAAACAGATCAACACTGCAAGTACTCAAAACAGCTAGCAGAGGAATTGAAAAACATCAAAGTAGGGCCAGAGAAAATATTCATATCGCATGACGTCATATCTCTCTTCACCAAAACACCAGTACAAGTAACAATACAGATCCTTCAGAACCGGCTACAAACAGACAGAACACTCAAGAGACACACCAGCTTAACTGTTCAGGACATCATTCATCATTCATCAGCCTTATATAATTCCCCTAAGGCCACAGTCACCACCAACGGGATCACATCTCAAAGCTAGAGAAGAAGAGAGAGAAGAACAAGAGAGAGAGAAGAACAAGACAAGGGTGCCCACTCTCACCTCTACTGTTTGCAATATTCATTGAACCATTGGCTATGGCAGTCCGTTGGCACAGCAAGATCATAGGTATCCACTCCGCCAACTCAGAGCACAAAATTAATTTATATGCCGACGACATTTTACTTTATCTACAAGAACCGAAATCGTCTTTACATGAAGTATTTAATCTCATAACAAATTTTCCTAAACTTTCGGACTACTCCATCAACTGGTCCAAATCGACAATACTGCCAATAACGGAGAACTCTTGGAATCCTGCAGACCAAAAATGTTCTCTCCCTGTGGGCAACATATGATATCTTGGCATAAATATTTCTTCTAAACTATCAGACTTGGTCCACCTGAACTTTAGCCCGCTGCTAGATAAGATCTGTGGTGACCTGAAGCGCTGGAATAATCTTCCCATCTCCCTCCTGGGACGAATAGCCACAGTTAAAATGAAAATTCTTCCCCAAATTAACTATTTCTTTTCCATGATTCCATTCACACCCACATTGAAATGGTTCCTATCATTAGATTCTGCAATTAGAAAATTCTACTCAAAGAACAAAACAGCAAAAATTAGCCTAAGCACCCTTCAGAAAAACAAATTGGAAGGGGGATTGGATGCTCCTAACTTTAAACATTACTATTTAGCTAACCAGCTACAATACCTATCCAAATGGTTACATCCTAACGAAGACTACAACTCCTGGCTCGAACTAGAACAGGCGGACTGCAACAATATAAAACTCTCTGACCTCCCGTTTATCACCACTACACTCAGACGTCATAACTGTTTTAAGAACCCAATGATTGCTTCCACCTTGTCAGCCTGGTGGAAAACACTAGAAATCACAAACTCTCAGATAGAACCTTGCTTACTCTCTCCAATTTGGCACAACCCGGATTTTGAAATTAACAAAAGACCTCTCCATTTTAGCACATGGGAGATGAAGGGAGTAACTCATCTCCACCACCTTTTCCAAGATAATATACTTATGACATACACAAACTTATTTCAAACTTTTGAAATAAGAAATGGAAATTTTCTACAGTATTTACAATTGATAAAAACAATCAAGAGGAGAATTCCAGCGCCTCAGGACACTTTGCAGCCACCAGAATTTGCCAAACATATTACAAAGCTTTCTCCGAGAAATAAGAAGAACCTTTCTAAGATTTATAAATTACTGTCAGAGACCAGTTCTATACATTTACCAATTTTAAAATGGGAAAAGGAGCTGGGTGTATCACCGGACCCTGACTTCTGGACTCAGATATGCAAAAATACATTCAAGATGACAAGTCACACTAATATACAACTTATCCAATTTAAAGTACTCCTCAGAACACACATCACCCAACAAAAGATGAATAGAATGGGCTTTAGTCAATCTGACATATGCACTCAGTGTACTCAGAACACTGCAGACACCTACTTTCATGCACTCTGGTTATGTTCACCTGTCCAGCACTTTTGGTCAACAGTCACTCAAAAACTCTCCTCCATTTTGGACTGCAGGATCCCATTATCTCCCAACCTGTGCTTAATTGGTGACCTGATGACAATCGACCTCCCAAACAGCCACTGCAATTCTCTTCTTGTAGCTCTCGCCATCGCCAAGAAAACAATCCTAGTCAACTGGAAAGATAAACAGACCCTCAACATCAACCACTGGCTGAATCTCCTTGCAGAACATATTTCGCTGGAGAAAATATCTGCTGGCCACAGAAACCTATTAACATACTTTACAGAAAAATGGTCACCATTTATCCACTCACTAAACCTGTCTGTATAGTGCCACTCAGCCTGTGAGCATATGCCACCTGTACATATGAATATTACAACTCAAGAAAGACTGTTGTGTAATATGTAACGTGTTTCTGTTAATAACGTAACCCCTAATCCCTCTATCTCTTTCACCCATCTGGGGTGTGTCTCTGGCTCCCTGGGGGTGCTGGCCATTGCCGCCCCGGGTCCTTGGGCCTGCGTGGTGTCCTGCGGTTCAAATACACGCATGCATGTTCGATAATTCAGCTCCGTGACGCATCGCAAAGAACCGATGGGATCACTTAAAAGGGGCCCACTTGCTTCTCGAACCTACCACACTGCGCTGGCAACTCTTCTCCACAATCGGGCTTTCCCCCTCCACCAAGACTCTCACATTTTTGGTGTTCAGTGTAGACTTCTCTTTTGTTTTTGTTTTTCAGTACCGTATAGTAGACGTGTATATGTTTATTTTTGATCATCTGTATGGAGCACAACCACCTCAAGGCCACAATACATTAGCTACACTGCCTGTTTCTCCTCTGTTTTTTTGTTTGTTTGTTTTTTCCTCCTTCTTCTCCGCATGCACTGTCGCTATATAACTCAGGACTTAAGCACCTGCCCCTCAATCCCCCCTGCTTGTTCCTTACTTTCCCCTTGACACACTTTGGTGTATCACGGCCCTCTCTGGCTCATATTAGGAAGTTTTTCCAATAAAGGCTGATAGGCTAGTTTCCAGGGAGGGTGGGTGACGGTCAAAACCATGCACAGTATGGGTATAAAATACTTGACTGCAAGATTAACAGTGCATCAGTCTTCATAAGAAGCTTACACCCTTTCGTCATCAAAATTCACCACACAGACAACTCAGACATCAAAATAAAAATACACAGAAAACCCACACATACAGACCAATATTTACTATGGACATCAGGGGGGGGCTAACTAGCATGCTAACTAGCCGCTGGCTCCACTGTGCGGAGACTCAGCCGTCTGCTCGGCATCGTCTCAGCTAATTCGTGTCCATGTTCAAGCCATTGAACCTGTTCTCTCAGCCGTGTTTGTGCCTTTTGGATATATTTTTCAGGCAAATATTGGAGTAATATGGCTTGCTGTTCAATTAATTGTACCAACAGACCATCCAACAAGTCTGTGCTCCAGTTTTTTTGGTAAGTGAAATAAGGAAATTCTAGTATTATTTTATTTATGTTTATATGTTAGCACTAATTAGCGGGTATCGGTGTCTGCGGTCACCACCTAGCTTGTCAGCTTATTATTATACTATTAAGCCTTTATTTAGGACATGTGCGATCAAGTGCGATCTGTATCACAGCAGCAACATCCACATCAAGTTACAGAGCAACAGACAAAACAATACAAAACAAGCTTAGCTCGTTAACAAGCTAACTAGCCANGTCTGTGAAGTAGGTAACCTAACACATATATTACTTTTAATATCTATTTGTCTGTGTAAAGTTTTCCTCTAGGTGACCCAGACAGACTGGACCAGTGGACACTCAACACGAGAAGACAGAACTGGACTCCAAACAAGACTTCCCGTCTGTGCAGTGAACACTTTGAGAGTCATCACTTCAGCGCTGACTCCAGGATAAAGACACCTTTTTTTATACAGTACCTCACAAAGAGTCAAGAAACTTATTAGTTTAAAATGATGAATTATTGTCCATAATACATTTAAATGCATTACATAACTTACTAATTGTCATACATTACTAAGTACTTGATTAGGGCACAGCTTGCTCTGTACTATTACTGATAAGGTGAAATTACTGACACACCAGTGCAGTTTAGTGTTCCCCTGATGCAAAAGGCCAAATGAAGATTTTATCACTCAAGGAACATGACATGTATTTACCGACTTTAACATTTTAGTGCCTTTTATGCAAAGACCCTTTATCAAAGTGAGAACTACTACCTTTTTACCCACACACAGTCTGTGAAGAACCAATAGAATAAAATATTCTCATAATGAGACAGCCGAACATAGCATGATTCCACAGTGGCAGTGAGCTTTGAGAACAGTTCAGTTTCCTTTTGATAGCAACATTTATTTTAATGTGGATGAATTGCATACTGTATATTCATACTCCAGTTGTCTTGGTAGTACACTGTTAAATTTAAAATCACATTCAAATATAAAGTCGAATATCTACGGAACTTAAACACAAAACTATTTTATGAATGACAGCCACTTACTCAGCAATAAGATCATTTTGGTGGTGAGTGGGCTTTTAACCAAGACAGGCTGTAGTCAGTGTTTTCTACCTGTGTTTTTAACCTGTCATCTTTCTCTCATGTAGTACACTTGAGGAAAGTTACAACGCCTAGGCCAATGTGATGTTTACTCCACAGTAAAGAGGTTGTTTTTGACACTGCGTCCTAATCCATAGGTTTTATAATTACTGTTACTGTGTACTTTTTGTAACCTTTTTTAATATGAATGTTTTCATGAATGCAAGCTTTGACTTTGACTTGTTGACTTTGTGTAATGGTTGTAATTTTTGTTATATAAAATGGATCAGACAAAATTTACTTTACAGTAAAAGCACATTTTTTGAAAGCTGTCATTCATCAGTTTCCTGTGATGATTGGAAATATAGTGGTGATTTAAACCATTAACAAAATATAATAATTATTAATGGTTTCTTAATGTTTTCATTTATGTCTTAACATTTACCCAAGTTTGCATTTATCTTAGCAGAATGTAAAAAAAAGAAAAGCTGATGTTATGTGCTGGTTTTGTTTGAACATTTCTTTAAGACAAATGAAGAAAATTCACTGAGAAACTATTCTCCTTTTGTGAAAAACAAGGAAATATCTGCACTCTGAATAGTTTTAAGCTCCGTAGGAGGTATCATTTATTTGTGACGTTGTGACATATGAGAAGGTTCTGTGGGTATTGCTCGGTATTTAGGCTTATATAGTAAGGCTAAAAAAAAAAAAAAAGAAACATAATCAGCCAATTGTGTATTACGATTTGCCTCACTATAAAAACGCCACGTTACCTTTGCCTGAGGAAGACCCTCTCAGAGTTGGCAACATAGCGAACAAGGGGGCTTCAAAACTATTGTGCCCAGCTAATACTTTGTTTTTCACTTTGAGCCCTTTTATCCAGTCGCATTCTTCTGTGTTAGACTTCTAACAGAGCAGCAAACAAAGGTTACTCTCCAAAATCTTCTCAGGCTCTGCTGCTGGGTGTAAGGTGCGTAGTTATCTTCAAGAACAAAGTTAAAATTATCAGGCCCACACAGAAATGGACTGCTTAATTATTTGTCAATGTCAGTTTTAAACATTAATGCTTTATGTTTTATCTGTAGTGTATGATTTGCTTGTCCTTTCAATTGACAGTTAGATTTGATTGTGAAATACAAAATTCAGTCAGTAATAAAGACAAAAGGAGTGCAAATGTAAATAGAATTTATTGAAATTTTAAACAAGTTAAAAATGTACTGAATGTTTTAAATAAAAGGACATAGCAAAAAAAGTCAATACCCCTTTAGTCAAAACAGACTGAGCCTGTGAAAGTGGTAACAGCCATGCCCAGCATGGGCCCAGAGAGCTGCAGAGTACATGGGGTGGTAGGGGGAAAAGGGGATAAAGGGTGGGATTGTAGGGATGAGGAAGAGCAGAGGTGGTAACAGCGTTATAGCTACAGATGTTTGTTTTTTTAACAAACAAAGAATATCAAAAACTCAACATTAGCCATGACAGCCTGGGCTATGTTCAGGCCTAACAAAATGTGTCCTAAAGGCCAAATTCGAAAGCAGTGACACTGCCAACTGTAAGCAGTTCACTGGGTTTGGAGGTGGCCTTTAAGACAATTAAACTAATTTACTTAAAAACATATAATTTCTCCCAGGTGTGAGATGAGTGTGTCTGATGTGAGAGTGCTCAATTATGGCACCATTTGAACTATGAACAAATGTAGCCATAACACTGTTAACAAATTTCCTGGCCTTATCAATCTTTGCTGGATTGCCACCAGCCTCCCACCTGCACCTTTGGGCCAATGATGAAAATATTATCTTAATGCCAGGATGCTGGAGGTGAAGCTGGTGCTGGTCCTCCTTCATCATGTTGATCAGCTTGACACTGCTGACCTTCCCCATGTCATTGCCGCCACAGTGGATGATGAGGACATTTGGTGCCGCTCTTCCTCGCAGGGAGTAGGAAAAGAAGGAGAGAAGGCCTCTCCACTGCAGTCCACCCCAGCCAAACCAGCAGACACGGATGCCCGGCATGCTGAGGGTGCTTCCCAAGGTCTCTGCAGCTCTCTGGACACCACGCCGGACATACGTAGCTGTCATCAATGATCCACATTGTGCCTATGAAAGTAAAATGAGTGTAATAAATGCTTTAGGAAATGAAAAACAGAAAGTTAAATATAAAGGGTAAATCACTTCTTTTTGTTGACAATACTATTATGTCACATCTGTAGGATAAAATAAAACAAGGAGCAACACATCAAAATATAAATGACAGTCTTTGAAATGCTTTCTTATTGTCCTTGGAAGACAATGTAATATTAGCTGTCGAAAGTCAAGTAGCCAAAACTGGTGCTTACAGTTTCTGCTGTGTGGAGCAGACGTGGTGGAGACGTCTCAAGTGGCCATGACCTCAACACCGGTGATGTACTGAAAGAAATTAACATCTTGTAACAAGTATAACACTGCCTTTATTTCACAATCTCTACATTTCTTCATCATGTTCTAGAGCCTAATCTCGCAATGCGCTGGTGATAACAGTAACATTAATGTTACAGATAAATTTCAGTCCCCTTTGGACTTTTATCAATGTCAAAATCATAAATATGCGCGCTGGTTGCAATAGCGGTGTGGGTTCTAGGATATAATCTTTAATGTCAGCCAGTTATGTACACTGCAAATTCAGCTACTAACTCTAATTTCTTGTTTGGCATCAACAAAACATTCATGGTAAGAAAGAACACTAACGTTACTAAAGTTACGTGAAAGTCTTAATTCAGGTCAATTGATTTGCTTCAAATTATTCGTTAATGTTATATATGTATTAAATAAACGTTACGCTGATTCACTGTAAACCTGGCCAAATTACTGCAAGCAGAGCCGGCCCAAGGCATAAACGAACTAAGCACCTGCTTAGAGCCCCATGAACACTAGGGGGCCCCCAAGAGCAATTCACTTAAAAAAAGAAAAAATTAATTTTTTTTTCCATGTGTGAGTGATGATGATTCGTATATTATCAAATGTACGTTCTTGTACAAAAAGACAATATTATGTTAACAGAGTGTAGTTTTCTACTGCCTCTCTGCTCTAAATGTCAAAGCTCCGCTAGTAACGTGTGCATCCAGGCTCCAGCCGTGCAGTGCGCACTGCACATCCAAGGAGCTAGGAGCAGGTGGAAGGCCTGATAATGTCGCAAAAAAGAACATACCCTTCAGGGGCAGAAGAAATAAAAAGGAAGAAAGAGGAAGAGGAGAAAAAACAACAAGATAAAGGTATGTTTGCATTTCTTGGTAATGTAACGTTTGGTGTCACGGAGATTTTGAAAAGTTTCCTCAAATTAGGAAAGTCCCTAATTATTGTTGATATTGTGTTCCAACTACGTTAGCCTATAATAGCAAATTAGCTAGCTAACATTAGTTCAAAACTAGAGAAATTTCTCTTTAACTGTCTTTAACGGTTATATAGCTTACTATTCAAGCTAACGTTTTTGTGTATGTGTAATACTTTGAATAAGTTGATA